TCAGCAATATTTTGACTTTAACTAACTCCTTTTTAGCTAAAAGAAAAATGTAATGCAAGGCATCGCCCCTGAAGCGGGTATTTGTCTGCAAGATGAGTGGTCACGCTGTCATCTGACAAAGCTCCATTCACCACAAATTAAAAATGAGGCTGATAACAAATATGCAGATGCTTTAGTTGCATAAACAGATGGAAAAATAAAGGAATTGCTAACAGTCAAAATTCACTCGCCTTCAGGATCGTTTGCTCAATACGAGACTTGTCAGCAACAACCATCAACACTCAGAGAAAAAAAGGCCCCTATTTAATGTATGTTTGAAAAGAGACTTCAAAAAATTATTCTCAGATATGTAAAATACCATGTAAGGTGGCAGAGAAGACTGCAGCTATGAAATTTTTTGTCATTTGCTCAGAGGAGAATAATTAAGAAGGAAAAAGGACAAATCTTCTTGGATGTGGTCACTGTAGAATACAGTGGTACAGAATAATAATAAGCAGAATAGAATATAGGTGTCCAGAACATGAGGTAATCTTTAACATAGTACATACTGCTTCACATAGCCTTAAATAAAATAAAATAAAGAAGTTCAAATATTCCTCAACAACCACCCCTGCCTTCCTTGCTGGTTGGACTGATGTCCCACGGGTCCGGTGTCAGTCTGTGGAGATGTGGAATATTAGATCTATACATTCACATCTGACTGCTACAAGTGTGCTGAAATTTGCATTAAGAACAAGAAGTCCTTTGATCAGAACACAGCATACATTTTACACATCAAGGGGGCTCTACAGGAAAAGTCTAAGCTTACCAAAGCAACTGAAGGGATTTGGGGAGGGATCTGACAGAGAACGGAGTGGTGACACCACTGTCACAGCGTCTGCGACTTCACCTGATTAACAACAAAGAAGGCAAACTGCACAAGGACAAAAAAAAAAAAGAAAAAGAAAGAAATATAAAGAGCAATTCTAGCCTATATCATTTCTGACGTTTAATACAGGCCTTTAGAAGGGATTATGAACTTACTTTCCATGGTCGCAAATTTGGACATGATCTAGGGGTCTCCTGATTTCTCTTGTGCTTTTGTACTGAAAGGACAGAGAATGAAACTTTTCTTTTTCCTGTTGATTTTATATCTTTCCTCTTTTCTATTGATTTCCACTTCTTACTTGTAACCTGTCTAGCAAGGCAACTTGGGACTTGTCCTTTCAGTCTGGAAAGCTTAGAAGAGACAGAGATTTTGCTTGATTTCCTAGGAAGATAAATAAACTTCCTGACCCTTTCCTACCACTTTCATCAACATGAAAGGCCAAGTAAGACAGTAAAATTTACCCTTACAGTCGCAACGTTGAAAACACACATCATAAAATGAAGTGCCTTATCTCCACGAAGCATGAGTACCAGGGGAGTCTCTTGCTGCCATGTTTCTTTTTGCCAGTTATATCCAGGAAAAAAAAAAAAAAAAAGATTGTCTTGTTTTTGTTTTTCCCATTGGGAAACCTAGGAGATTATTACCATGCTTCTAATTAAGGCATTAACATTTGCTTTGGAGGTTCTAGCTAATAACAACAACTCATCAAGTTGATCCCACAGCCACTAATTAGTTTTTTTTTTTCCACACTACATTTTCTACCTGAAATTTACTCCCTGGTCCTGTGCAATTCTGTTCATTTTCCTTGGAGCTTTTCCTGAGTTTTCTTGTGATTTTTTTTCTTTAATAAATCAGAAAAAAATATACCGGTCACTATCCATTCAACTTCCATTCTAGATGCTGCCCAGAAATGGTTTGGCATTTTTTTTTGACTCAGAGAGAAGCTGAAGAGATGTGTGTATTAATATAACATATTTTATTGCCTTTCACTGTTAAGAGTATATACCTTCTTACTATTAGCACATGGTAGCCCTAATTCCTGTAACTCATCCATCTGTGTGATGTTGTTCACTGTGAAACACAGGGCTTGATCCTTCAAGCTAACCCATGCCATTGACCTTACTGAAAGAAAAAGAAGATTGCACATAAAAAAATCATGTATCACCTTGTTTGCAGTAGACTGGTAATCCAATAAAGTGGGCACTGTCATTTTATTTATATCTACCTTATAAAATAGATACCTGCTATTCGTTTATTGTTCCCCAGTGTTCGAGCAACACATAGTCTTCCCACGTATGCAGCTGCCACATCTCCTTTCCCCCCTTTATGGAAGAAGGATTCTTCATCTAGGATTGATTTAAATGATTAAAAAACATACTTTTGTTCCCTTATGATGAAGAATTTTATTTCATACCTTGCCATTTTCTCTTTTTTTCCTAAATCTGCCTGCATTTCATAGTCACAGCGTGAAAGAGCCTTGCAGTTCAGAGCTACCTGCCTCTCGTAAGCCTGATCACTCTGGTTGGGTTCATGAATATTTACCATCCTGCAGAAAAAGCTGAAGATGCCTGACTGCAGCTGTGCTCCAAAACGCTACAGAGAACTGGATATATTTAAAGCTATTACTCCCAGCTCCATCATTTAATAAGAAGAAAGATAATACATGCTCTATTTAATGAAGTTTCCGACTTTTTTCTTCATACCAATGCAACACAGTACTTCACAGGTTTAATAACCCTGCAAATTAAATGAGATAATGTCATGGACTGGACAAATAATCAGATTAGTATTAAACTGAACGTCTTTCTTCAATGTTAATTGTTTGGGAATGAATTATAGGGAAAGTCTCTTTTTCACCCATCTCTGACTTCTGTGTAGTCAGAGCTGAAAGGGAAATTATTTTCCTTTTCTGCACAAGCTCTAAAAAATCAGAAGAATCCTAAAAGACTAAGTACAAGTCACAGCTCATAAAAGGTTAGCTATGTAAAGATTTGAGCTAATTACCTAAGCTGCCCTGTAGTCAATTGAGAAAAATAGGTATAGCCAGAGGCAATTCATTGTGTGCCCAGTAGGTAGGATGAATGATTTTCTTGTAGTATCTGTCTTTCTCCCAAGCAACTTAGACCCTAAAGAAGAAAAAGCTACATGTACAGATGGAGCATTTGAACCTGTACACCTCATAGTTTAGGAGCCTTGAAACTACCCCTGTACCCATGCATTTCTGCTGAAACTTCTGCTTTGGGGAATAATGCAACTTTTTATTGAACATGAGTACCAACACTGCTGCCCTCTTCAAACCGAGAGCTTGAATGATGTGGCTTTTATGGCACTGGCTCTATATTTAACTAAAAAGATGTGTTCTGTAACTTGAGAAACATTTCCCTACAATGGTGTTGTCAAAATTGGCATGTTGCTATAGGTGTCTGCTTTGCTAAGCATTTTGTTGATGCAAGAAAATGCAACAACAAAAAAACTCTAGAACTAGACACAAAGACTTTTCAGGAATTGGTAAAACCCACCAATTTGATGTACTATTTTAGGCTTGTCTTCATCCCATTAAAAGCAGTGAGAAAAACCCCAGAGTTCAAAAAAGCATAGTTCTTTTCCATGCAGAAAACCACCCAAACTATTAGAAGACTGAGAATATGAGAATCAGACTCTTACCTATCTCCTAATGGTTTTCCCATCTGTAAAATGGTGAGAATTGTTGCATTGATACTTGGCAGAGAAAGTGCAAAGAATAAAGTTATAAATACTCAAGAATTGCCATTATTTGTTGAAGGGATTTGAAAAGCTATCTAAAACAAAAAGTATACACGATATCTGTAGCTAAAAAGTGTAGGTTATATTATGTGTGACAGTAAGTAGGTATTTTCTTGTACTCTCAACGCTGGAGACATGAACTGTTTGCTTTTAGGCAGTGACTAAAGTGTGAATTTGGCAGCTCAAATACCACCTCAGCTTCGCAGAGTGTAAGACGGGGACAATAGTATCTTCTTCACAGTATATTATACTCCTCACTTCCCAGAATATCATACTGAAATCTTGCCTTCTGATACTGCTTTTACTCATGTATTTCCTTCCGTTTCCATGATTCTTGTCCTCAAGAACCCTCGATTTGCCCCATGTGTTACTGGATCTCCCTCCTTGTCGGTGTATTCCAACTTTCTGTCATTAGTTGTGTCCATTAGCCTCGTTCTACCTCTTCTGGTGTCAAAAGTGCTTTGAGAACCGTAATTTTACATAAAGCAACCAAAATCTTCCTTCCTTCCCCTTTCCTTCCTTCACTGCTGCACAGCCGTCGACCTTCGAGCAAGAGGGTCAGGTGCATTTGCAACCCTATCAACCCTATATTAAAATAACCATTTCAGATTTAGGCTGTAACATAATTTTAGATCCAATTAGACCCAATCCTTTTCATCTTTTATTTTTGTTTCCCTCAGAGATTCTCCGGACTTGCTAGAAGAAGGGGTAGCTCTTCCCCCATTTCCCTGTGGTGCTCAGGAGGCTAAACGGCACCAAGCAGCGTGTGAAACACTGTGCTTCTATATAACTTAATTTACACATATAAGCATTTCCTTGAAAGAGGAGCTTCCCGCCTCGAAACAAGGGCACAATTGTGCTTGCCCTGGCTGCAGCGGGACTGGGGAGAGGCAGAGAGGGGGCCCCAAAAAGGCCGCAGGCGAAGTGGGTCGGCCTGGGGCTGAGCAGTCGGCAGCGGCGGGGGGATCTGGAGGGGGTGGATTAAACCCCACGCGGGTTCCCCGCTGCGCGGCCCTGGGGGTGCGGGAGAGGCCGCCGCAGACGCGCCCGCCCGCGCGACCCCCTCACAAATTGCGCCCGCCCGCATCGCCCCTCACGGCACCGGGGGGCAGCGGCGGCGGGCGCGCACTGCGGCTGCGCAGGCAGCCCAGGCGGCTCCCCCCCTCCCCTCCCGAGGGCGGCAGCGTGACCCCCTCCTCCCCTCCCCCGCAGCCATGTTAGAGAGGGCGGTCGCGCATCCCATGGTGCAGCGCGGCGGGAGGGCGGGGGAGCGGCCTGGAGGGGCCGGGGCGGGCGGGAGGCGCCGCCGCCACCGCGAGCGGAGCCGCAGCCGGGACCGCAACCGGGACCGCGCCTCGCTTCGCCTCCCAGCTGCTGCTGCTGCTACCGCCGCCGCCACCAGCCTCGCCGAGGCGGCCTCCCCGCGGCCCGGTGAGTGCTGGCGGCGACGGAAGGTTGGTGGGGGGCGTTAGTGGGGAAGGGGGGCAGTGAGGCGCAACGGTCCTAACGGTCCTAACGCCCCCCCCCCCCCCCCCCTCAGGCGCAGTGAGGGCGGCGCCGGCTCCTCAGCCGCCCGTTACGGGCGGGGGTCCCCACTCGCTTACACCGGCGCGGGGGGACGTTGCGCTGAGCAAAGGGGGGTCCCCGGGGAGGCCGCGGAGGCACCGCGGGCGCGCGGGGTGCTCCCAAAATAAACAAAGGGCCGGCGGCCCCCCGACCGCTTCCCCCTTTTCCTTTCTTTGCCCTCCTCGCCCGGTTGCGCTGCTAAATCTGCGGTTGCCGCTTCGAGTAGAGGGAAGTGGTTGAGGTTTTTCTTTCTCTTTTTTTTTTTAATTTTTTTTTTTTAAATTTTTTTTTTTTTCGTTCTGTCGCCACGCGAAGCGGCGGCGGTAGCTCCTGCCTGGGGTCGTCAAGGCGATTCTAACGCCTCCTAAAACCGAGGCGGGGAAGGGGAGCCAGGGGTGCCCGAGCAGAAGTTGCTTGAGATTAAAGAAAAAAATCACTTGCTGTCTTAGGAGGAGAAACTCAACTGGTTTTAATTTATTTACTTTTTTTTTTTTTTTTTTTTTTTTTTTTTTTAACACATAAGCCTGACTTATGGGGGTCAAATTGTACCCTCATGCAGCTCTAAGAAAATATCTTCCTGCTCAGGAAAGTCTCGGGACTGATTTTCAAGCATGCTCTATGCGTTACCAGTTTCCACATCCATTCGATTTCCCAACTTTATTTCCTCAAATGATCTTTTTTTTTAAGGGAGGAGAAGGTGCACTTTCTCTTCGGTTGCGCCCCCCCCCCCCTTTTTTTTTCTCTGTCCGCAAACCAGTGCTTTGCTCACTCTGTTGCTTCTGTCCCAACTGAATTGCAGTCTGTTGTATTTAAGTTCATTCTGCCTGGAAAGCAGAATGATCCTGTAGGCCCTGGTGTCCAAGTCCAACCCTTGCTGGCTGGCTTGCCTTCTGGCAGCTCCCTTAAGATAACAGCACTGCTGAGGTGAATATGTTGGACAAAAGTTCACTTGAGAACAGAAAGAGTTGGGGGAGCCGTGTTTAAATAAATGGAAGTATTGCATTTAACACAAGTGTGGGTTTAGAAGCAGAGGGATGTCTCTTAAATTCAGATTTTTGCAGGCATTTTGTTGTGTCCTTTCTGTGATAATCAGAAAAGTCCCATGTTCCTCAAAGCTAATCTGCCTTTATCATCTCTGATTGTATTAAACCTGAGCAAGGTCCAAGGCATAGCTGGGACAGGGCCAGAAAGTATTAAATGTTGCATAGTTACTCAGAACGGCCTGTTATCTTATTGATGTTGTCCGTCTCCCAAATTCCACTGCTTCCTTCCTCCACCCACCTCCCTTTTTGTTACCTCTGAATCAGGGACGATATCCGATTATGAGCCTGCATTTGCACCTACATGGCTTGGTTTGAATTTCTTAAAGTAAGCATTATAGCAGAGGTTCCCTAAAGAAAGCAGGAAGGTTGGACTAGATGATCTGTAGAGGTCCCTTCCAACCTGAAATATTCTGAAATATTCTGAAATATTCTGAAATATTCTGAAATATTCTGAAATATTCTGAAATATTCTGAAATATTCTGAAATATTCTGAAATATTCTGAAAGTATATGTGCTTTGAGATATGTGCCTGTGTAGCAAATGCAATGGATATATAAAGTTTGCAGGTGTTTTCTTAATTAAAAAACAGAGAGGGAGGAGATGCTTTATTTGTAGGGGGGAAGCAAATCTTCTCTGCCAGGACTGTAAACTTTAATGGCCGTTCAAAAACGGGACTGTGCATAGAGCAAGGGGAAAAAAACGTGTGTCTTACAAATAAGTTCTGGAACTAATTTGTGTTTTATGCTCTTCAGTTTTAAATGCAGTTCCGGTAGAGCATGGTTGGGGTTGATGTTGCTCTTGGTTGACTCTTAATGTGTTTTTAAGAGAAACGCGTAAAATAGGTGCATGTTAAAAAGATGGCACAGTGCTCCTTTTTCAAAAGCCTTAAACTTTATTGAGCTCTGGGTTTTGTTAAGAGTACTGGACATATGCAACTGATAGAGTGGTCAACTAATAGAGTTAATATTTTGCTAAGAAATGAATATTCTTAGACTATTAACTTTTGCATTTTGAATATATAACTGCTGAAACAACTTTTAACAATTCTGCTTCTAGGTAGTAGAACTTCTGCTGTTCTGTTCAGAAGTAGAACTCTAGTGATGCAGTTTTGCTTCAAAGTACATGTTGTGATTTTTTTTTTAATATAATGGTTTACCACATTATGACTAATACTTGAACAGGGAAATCTTTGGTGGTGTAAGTTCTACCCAACTTACAAATGTTTAGAGGGGAAAATGAAGAATGAAAGCAGGAGTGTCTTTTTGAGATTAGATGAAGTGCTAGACTGGGTGATTTTGATGGTTTAGCAGATTATTTTGACTATATACATACACCAAATATATGTATATGAAACTACATGTTTTCCTCAATGAGAGGGTAATCCCCTCCATCGCCTAAAGAGCAGAAAAGCAAGAAGCTGTTGGTATTTGCATAACTGATGGATATCTTCTTTTTCTACTCTTTGCAGCATGTGGAATGTTATCTTTAATTTGACATAGGGTTCATTATGGAAATACAGGCCATACTAAATGTTTACATTGCACTTAAAACTTGTGGAGAAGTCTTCTTCCCAACTTTCTGTAGTCAGGAGTCAGCCTTGTTGCATAACCTAGAAGTGTGTGTGCCTTTTTGACAGTTACGTTGTACTGATATTTAAAAAATAAGTAATATTTTACCAAAGTTTGGTAACTATAAATACTTTGGTATTTGCTAATTATAATTATTTTGCTGTAAAACTCGTGTGTTGAAGTCTTATGTCTTGCATAACTCTTTGTCCTAGCTTTAGAGCCCCTATATTTACTTTTAATTTAGAAGATTGCACATAGTGCCTCTATATTCTCCTATTCTGATCAAATTTCAGCTAATCAGAAGAAGACATTTAAAAATAATGCCTTATGTGTTTAAAAAAAAAAAAAAAAGGTGTCTTTTTTTCTCCTCACCATCTTACAACTGCCACTCTGTTGTGCTTGAAGTGAAGACTTGGGTTTTATTCTCACCAAAAAATGTGTGTTTCTTCATTTCAGAGCTCTGTTAATGAAAACTCAGGGGTGTGACTGTTAACATCTGTGAGATGGTGATTTCCAGTCTAATTCTAATTTTATGTCTTATCTAGTGTCATGTAGTATGATACTTGGTAGTATAATTCCTAACTTCCAACAGTCTTTGCTGAATATCATGAAAACATGGACATATGGGCTTGACTTCTACAAAAGATTTTAATTAGAGGCCAGGACTTTATAGCCTAAACAAAGAGAACATTTTTTACTGTTATCTTTTTGACTTCTGCTATAGAATGGTTGCAGAAGTGATTTAAGGACAAACTAAAATTCTAATTTTAAGTGTATTTAGCATCTGAACTATGGTAATTCTCATCTTACCAAATGATAATTTTTACAGGATGCTTCTTATTTATAAAACAATAGTAAAAAAGAAAAACACTGGTTTTGAAGTGTCTTAAAAGTACTCAGAACTTTGGATTAATACACATTCATATTGTGTAAACTGTAAGTAATTTCACATGAGTCTTTTGATTCATGTACAGTTTGTTTTTTAGACCCTCTGAAGTTTGGTACGTTGTACCACAGTGTTCAAAGAATGAAGTTTATTTTGTATACTAGAAACACATGAAGGGAGGAGTTCATGTGCTCCTATAAGGTGGGAGTTTGACTGTCTGCTCAGTGTTTAGAGTTACCAACATTGGGGTATAAATTTTGACATCAGTGAATTTGATAGGTTTTTATTAATTAAAAAAAAATCCTTTCTTTTTTTTAAAAAAACCCCAAAACTCCCCTCTACACACACTGCTCGTGATTTGACTGCTTGTGTTTTTATTAAAGCAGCCCTAATTGACCCCTGTGGTTACCTAGACACTTTGTGCTGGAAGCTCTATTGAAGTCCATTGCAAGTGGCAGGGGGACACCCTGAAGGCTGTGTCAGAGGATGTGGCGTTGAATGGAGAGAGTTGGCACTGGGAATCGAGTACCTGGTCAAAATAGTATCTGGAAAGACAGAAGTAGGCTGGGAATGTCTCCCTTCAAAGGAGGAATGCGGAAAATCCACAAGGATATCTGCCACAAATGTCATCAGAGGTAGGAGGAGAGCCATGGAAGCTGGATGGTCTCTGATGGTGCTTGGATCTTGCAGGTGCTCATCACCAGGGCTCTTGGCATTTCCTGAGTTAGGCATTTAGACAATAGTTTCTGCAATCTGGTTTGCAAGGTTTGGAAGCAATTTTTGTCAAATGAGAATGAAAATAGATGAACAAGAACTGAAAGCCTAAGGCTGTGTTACAGAGCATGTGATTATTCTCACATCTGCATTGAGTGTGAGGACATCTGAATTAACTCTCAGTGAAAGGACATATAGCAAAGTTTATATAGGTTAGGATTCTCTCATGGCACCTAAATATATCTCCTTTCCTTTTGGCTGGAAAGGGTGACAGAAAAGCAGTCAGTTTTGTTTTGTTGCAGAGTTCCATCTCACTGGGTTTCACGTAGGTCAATTTAAACTTTAATCCGTAAGACAAATATTCATCCTTTCCCTGGCCATTTGCCATGGCTCAACTCACTTAGAGGCTGTGGTCTTGTTTGCTTCATTTACTATTGATTAAAAAGCTGGAGTTGTTCTTAGGGTTTGTAAGAAAGAGGTCAGAGGGCTCTCCTGCCTGCTGGCTGCCCCTGCTTCCTGCAGCCATGCTTGGCTCTTTTTTTTTTTTTCTCTTTTCCCTCCTTGTTTACCCACACATGAAAATGTGTAATTCCTGCTTTTGTCTTACTCAGTTTTGGGGGAGGGGAGAGGGAGCAGACTATGTCAAGCTGTTA